CYYCSRAAAMMAAAAGGAATTATGGATTTGGTCAACTGGTCTCTGAATGCAATTGACACTATTTTTTCACATTAAGATTGTAACGAGGAGAACGTAGCTGTCCCAGTGGAATGGTTGCTGCTGKTTGGGTCAGTGATTCCTGGGGCTGGAATCTGATCTGTCTGGTGTCGCTTTCCAYTGAAGATGTAGAAAATTTGTACATATTTGGATTTAAGAYATATGATTTCTGCTGATCAGCGGAGGCAGAATTCTGGCTTATGAGAAAATGAAAGCAATCCTAACAGCAGTCCAGGCCTGTGAGAAGCTGTCAGGAACCATGGATGGAATCTGCCRTACTGGAAACACACAGACTCAGATGCTGGGGGAGATAAGTYGCAAACTGGATGTGATTCTGACAAGAATCGCAGCTCAGCAGCGTGCCCATGAGATGTAGGATTACACCTGGGTGAAGCTTCAGACGGAGAGAGGTGAGGAGGTGATAAAATTYGGAACATTCTGCTTTTTTGCCATTTCAGAGATGTAGTTAAKACTGTAWAGTGGCAAGAAATTCAAGGYCGACTGTCCCAAAATAATTGTCTTTATCTTTYGGATCCCAGCAGCTGCTGGCCTTGGTCGGCTGGCAGTTATCAAAACTTCCTGGGAGGATACGTCAACAAAGACTTGATTCCCTGCTCCCTCTCCCCATATCACCCGTGTGGATCCGTCTGAAGGCCGTGGTGGTGACAGAGGAAGGGGAAACTCTGAACTCTGTGAACTGAGCTTGGGAGGGTAAGATCTTGTCTCTGGACTCTGACAGGTCTTGGATTGGTTCCAGCACAGTGTATTAACCTGGAATGTCACCGSCTCYACTGAATYCCGCCCCCGTACCATGTTTGATCCCCAGCCCCTCCCCTCCTTAGCCGTCTTGCTCTAGCGAGTAGTTTTTTTGTGCATATCATTCTGTGTTTATGAGTAAACATAGGATCAGAGCATTATTTTTAACTCATCTATCCTAWTGTGTATTCAAAGCTGCAATAGGTAGCACAACCATGTTGCACAAGACCTGATCATCCGTTCTCCCCCATGTTTGTTATGTTTGTGTAAAAAGAATGGGTGTTCTTAACTGCAAGTTCCTTGTCTGTGAATGTTCACTGACAATGACAATAAAACGGATTCTGATTCTGATATTGCCAATGAAAGTTGTAGTTTGTGTAAATAATTTCACCATGGACTATTTTGGAAACTACTAAGAAGGATTTCCCCGAGGACTTTCTACTGAAAGGAAACTTTTGCACCTACTGTTCCTCCCAAATCTGCAGATGATGGTGGTACGTGATGTGTTATGAGTTTGGTGTTGCTATTGCTTCGGTATGAACATGATTTCTCATTTAGCACAAACTAACGTTGACCGCGCTGTGGGGATCGACTACTGAGGAGGCGAGCGACTTCATCTTTCCCCCTCCGCCTGGGGAAACAGCAATGACAGTCTGTGCTGTTTGCTTTTCCCCCTGTCCTGTCTGTGCTGTGGAGCATGGACCACCTTCCCCCTACAACCACTCCGGCCTGGGGAAGCGCGTTTGCCTCTCTGGGCACCAGTCTGTTGCTCTCCCCCGGGGTAGCCGCACAGTGCGGAGGGTGGGGGGTTTGTCAACCTATCTGGCTGCGTGCAGTGCTGCCATTCCCAGGGCTTGATAGGGAAAGACTGAAGCATCTGACCACAGTCAGGTACCTTGGTGCAGTGGAAGCCAGCACGCGTTGCAGCCTTCAGGCTTCCGTGTCACCAGACCTGCGGTGCGGGAGTCTCCAGACTGCTAGTTGTGGACCTTGACTGCCCCTCGGTTCGTCTTCGCCAGCTCCAAAAATCAGCGGAAGACGTGCTTTTGGCTCCCCAGCACCAAAGTGCTTAATTTAAGTCAGCGTCGTCCCTACCAAGCCCTGGRGGTGGCTGCACTGCGTAACGTTGTGCATCTGCTTATAGTAGTCATTTATTTTTACGTTTYTGAAGTGCTAACATGAACKCCATGTTAGGAGGGCGGAGTTAACGTAAACAAAAGGTTGGGAGGGGGTTGCCAACAGTAACTTMTGCATAACAGCATGTTCTGAAGAGAGCTAAAGAACAGGCAGAACTGAAAAGGAATTTCATTAACTGAGATTCATTTTGTGAATTAAATCAACTTGTTCTAGGACCCACATATTAGGTCATCTTTAATATTAAACTCATACCAATGCCTAAACTGACAMGAAATCTGAGAAGATAACTACACATTGTGTATTTCAGAACATTCACATTCAACTCTTAATACACCTGGTAGTCATTCAGGATGAGTAAACATTTTTCAGGATCTGTGTTTTTTGGGTTGTTTTCTGGAAACTTTTTGTGTTCATTGTTAAGCCTGTTTCAATGGGCAAATAATTACTTAACCCTAGGTAGATAGATTTCATTTGCCTGCTTGTTTGTYTTGTTGTCTCCCTCTTTTCTASTCCTTAGCGTAGGGAAGAGTTAACTCTGTTGTCAGGCGCACAGTCTCATAACGTCTAGCATGAGATACCTATGAAAAGACATTTAGCTAAAGGAGCTTCTTCAGCTTTCAATGCCTTCTTTCACCTAGCTACTCCTCAGGAACTCCTTAGGGCACCATGACAAACCTTGGGTGGTGGTGGGGTATATCACTATACAACAGTTACTGTATTTATTTGTGTATAATATGTGAAATTCAACCCCAAAAATCACCCATAAAGTGGGGAGGTAGTATTGTACACAGGAGTAAATTTTGACTGACTTTTTTAATGTATAATCACAACAAGTTTCAATATTTCCTCAAATATAACTGAAATATTGCCCCTCCCTCCCATTGTAAGTTGTGCACAGCGAAGTAAATAAAGAGCAGCTGTTCACTCACTGGAGTCATAGGAGAAAATAATTGTTTTATTTTTCTTGTTTACCGCGACAATGTAAAAAAGATGGACTTTAGTTGCATGTTCTGATAAATGATGATCGTAGCTCTTATCCTGTCTCAGATATTTTTTTAGCTTGTTTGTTTAATACATGTTGTTTTCCTTCTAGTATCTTGTATTTGTCTGCATTCCTGGGTCCATTTTCCATGATCCATGACACTTTTGGACTGACCATGTTGTGCTGAATAGGTGGACTGATACATTTAGCAGCCTCGGGAGGCCAACATTCTCATAGTAAAGCTTGGGTTACACTTCAGCGGGTCGGTGATTGTGTCATTTTGGACGTCTATAAATTGGACAAGCATAAATGGCTGAATACGCAGCTGGCCATAAATGATCATAATTTCTCAATGATGGCTGGATATTGTGGATTTTTTTTTCACTCAACGATCAATGTTGTGTTGGGTGAAGAGTTCGCAGAGCAATTTTTTTCTTTTTTTGTTAACGGTGATGATGGAAAAAGATGTGAACATCAGCTGCTTGTTCACGTTCAATAGGATCAAATCAGCTGCTCTTCTATCTCTTTCAACAACAGGCTTCAGACAAAAAAATCATTTTAAACAAAATGACATGCTGTTCGGCTGTGGAGGAGTTCTGGTTTATCGGAAAATGAGAATGGCGCTGGCAGCAATTCGATCCTATGAGAAGCTGTCAGTGTCCCTGGATGGGATCTCTCGCATGCAGAACACACAGACTCAAATTTTGGGAGAACTGAATCGCAAACTGGATGCGGTGCTAACTAGGATCACAGCTCAGCGGAGCGAGGAGTGAGGCAACATCTGGGTGAAGTTCTTACGGGAGATGGAGAGTTGGTAATTAATCYGGAATATTTGGCATTTTTCGCAACATAGAGATACAGTAAAGACTCAAACTGCAGTGGAAAGCATTGTGCTGTTGTCCTAAAGCATTTTCTTTTTTTTCACCATTGGATCCCCCCAGATGTGTCCTTGGGCGCAGACTGATAAAGGACTCCCTGAACGAAGATATGCGTGGGTGGTAGACATGACACCCCCCCGCCCCCAACCCCCATCCTTTATCTTGTGTCTGTCTTCAGATGAGGCCACAGAGTTGGAATAGAGCACTGAACTCTATACAGAGATATTGGGCCTCATGCAAGAACATGTTCACATTCTTATCCTAAATTTCTCTTACTTTTGTTCGTACAAAGGGTTCACACGAACATGTCACGTCAGATTCAACAAACTCTTCTATCTTCAGGAAAAGTGTGTAAATGAGCTGCGTAAATTCCACCTGTTCGTATCGAAGTGCTCATGCACGCAAGAGGAGATTAGCATAATCACCACGCCAAAAACACCATATAAG